ACCTACGTGGGCCCTGTAGGCGTCTGAATTTGCGATGCCCTTCCCCCCCACCTACCCACAATAGGTCAGAAGATACATTAAAATATAATTATTAGATACTGGTGTCTATTACTGGTGACTGTTGTGAAAGCACAGTTCTTAAAGTTGTTAGCATAGGCCAAAGTTTTATTTAACTTAATAATGAAGAAACTAGCAGGACAACAAAGAGCTAGTTCTAAGAGCATTGTTCTGCAGGGCATGGTTTTTTGTTTTGTTTTGGTTTTTGTTTTGTTTTGGTTTTTTTTGCGGTACGTGGGCCTCTCACTGCTGTGGCCTCTCCCGCTGCGGAGCACAGGCTCCGGACGCACAGGCTCAGCGGCCATGGCTCACGGACCCAGCCGCTCCACGGCATGTGGGATCCTCCCGGACCGGGGCACGAACCAGTGTCCCCTGCATTGGCAGGCAGACTCTCAACCACTGCGCCACCAGGGAAGCCCAGGACATGGTTTTATAATCAGTTGAAAATGGAACACAGAATAAAATTGCTAAATTAAATATAAGATTGGTTAATTTTCTAAAGGGCCGTAAATCCATACCACCTTTGAGGGTAAACATCTCTATTGAGCTATTAAATTACAACAGCTTATTAATGTTCTGCCGGTCAACTTCCAACCTCTCAGAGACATTAAACACCATGCTGCTATGATATTCCCCAAGTGTCAGAATGGCTTATTACAAAATACTCTTGAATGATATCAGGATCCATGTGTCATCAGATTACCTTATTCCATAGTTTGGGATAAGTTTATCTTGAGTACCAGTACTTTTAACAGTTTTATTTCTTGAAAGGTAAGCTTTGTTTGTGTTTATTGAGGGAGGTTCTTGTGTCCTCAGACTGGAGAATGATGAACGGAAAAAGATAAGCAAGAATTTGATTAAGAAATGAACGTGGAACTCTTGAAAGTATGGTTCACCTGGTTTTTTGAAAGCTAGTTTCGAAATTATGTTTGGGTTTCCAAAAAGAAGGCAGCTTGGTAATTTCTTTGAATTAACTATGTTTAATAACATTTTAGAGCATCTCTGTTTTCTATAATGACAGCCTTACACAATCTGAAGTTCCTCATTACATACTTAAAAAAGCTCTTTTCACCTTTGGTACGGAGTATACTGCATTTAATGGGCAGTCCTGTCGGTCCGGAAATCTAGTATTCCAGGCTGTAGAAATTTTCTACTTATGAGACGTGCAAGTTCCAAAGATATATCAAGAGTTCAAATAAACTCATCTTTTTCCCTCTAAATATTTGACCTAGAGAGATATTACCTCAAAATATAACTGTTTTTATTGGGGTTAGTTAACATGTAACATGATATTACTTTCAAGTGTATATTTGTATGTATTGCAAAATGATCACAATAAGTCTAGTTAACATCTGTCACCATACATAATTACAAATTTTTTTTCTTGTGATGAGAACTTTTAGGATCTATTCTCTTAGCAACTTTCAGATATGCAATGCAGTACTTACAGTCTCCATGCTATACATTGATTACATCCCCATGACATTTATTTTATAACTGGAAGTTTGTATCTTATGACTCTCATCACCCATTTTGCCCACCCCACCAACCCCCACTCTGGCAACCACAAATCTATTCTTTTTATCTCTGAGCTCAAGATTTTTTGTTTTGTTTTAGATTCCACATATAAATGAAATCATACAGAATTTGCCTTTCTCTTTCTGACTTATTTCACCTACCATGATGCCCTCAGGATCCGTCCCTGTTGTCATAATGGCAAGATTTAATTCTTTTTTATGGCTGAATAATATTCCTCTGTGTGTGTGTGTGTGTGTGTGTGTGTGTGTGTATCTAACGTTTTCTTTATCCATTCATCCATCAATGGACACTTAGGTTGTTTCCATGTCTTGGCTATTGTAAATAATAATAATGCAGTAAGCACAGGGTGCATATATCTTTTTGAGTTTGTGTTTTCATTTCCTTCAGATAAATTCCCAGAAGTGAAATTACTGGATTGTGTGGTAGTTCTAACTTTTTTCAAATTTTTGAGGGACTTTTGTACTGTTTTTCATAGTGGCTGTACCAATTTACATTCCCACCAACAGCGCACAGGGGTTTCCTTTTCTTCACATCCTTGCCAACACTTGTTATTTCTTGTCTTTTTGATAATAGTTATTCTAACTGGTGTGAGGTGTGATACCTCACCGTGGTTTTGATTTGCATTTCCCTGATGATTAGTGATGTTCAGCACCTTTTCGTATGTGTTGGCCATCTGTATGTCTTCTTTGGAAAAATGTCTGTTCAGATCCTCTGCCCATTTTCTAATTCAGATTGTGTTTTTGCTGTTGAGTTGTATGATTTCTTTATATATTTTGGATGTTAGCTCCTTATCAGGTATGTGATTAGTGAATATTTTCTCCCATTCTGTAGGTTGCCTTTTTATTTGGTTGATGTTTTTTAGTTTGTTGTAGTCCCACTTGCTTATTTTTGTTTGTGTTGAGTTTTCTTTTGGTGTCAAATCCAAAAAATCATCTCCAAAACCAGTGTCAAGAAGCTTACTGCCTATGTTTTCTTCTAGGAGTTTTGTTGTTTGGGGTCTTATATTCAAGTCTTCAAACCATTTTGAATTAATTTTTGTGTATGGTATAGGTTGGTGGTCAAATTTCACTCTTTTGCACGTGGCTGTCCAGATTTTCCAGCACTATTTACTGAAGAGACTGTCCTTTCTCCATTGTGTATTCTTGTCTTCTTTGCCAAAAATTAATTGAACATATATGCATGGGCTTATTTCTGGGCTCTCTGTTTTGTTCCACTGATCTATATGTCATTCTCTCTCTCTCTCTTTTTTTTTTTTTCTTGGCCATGCCGCACGGCTTGTGGGATCTTAGTTCCCTGACCAGGGATTGAACCCGAGCCCTTGGCAGTGTAAGTGCGGAGTCCTAACCAGTGGACCGCCAGGGAATTCCTGTGTGTAATTCTCTTTTTAACCGCCAAGAGGTCACAGTCTTAACACCTTTCAAACCAAATAAGACTCTTTGTTTGACTATTTCATTTGAATGCCTTCCAAGCATCTTTGATTGATATTAAACCAAAATATTTTCTCAGTTAATTTTGTGGTGTAGAGTAGGAGGCATAGTAGTGGAGAAAGTTTAGTTCTCGAAATCTGAGCACATTTCCATTGTACTTCTTTCCCCAGATGGCAAAATTGAAAGAGCAGGGCATAAGTGTAATCTCCCCTGTCGTCCTCAGCTAGGCTTTGGGTTGCTCGTGGAAGTGCCATTTCTGTAGACGGGCATATGGTCTAGCAACCTATCTTGTCCGCTGACTCTTCCCAGTGCCAACTTCCCTATGTAATTTTACTTATTTTTGCCTGAAATCTTCCCTTCTAGTTATGACTAAGCTAATCATAACTCAGGGAGTTTTATCTACTCTTGGGAGTGAGTATACCACTGTTTCCTGGCTGTCCCAGACCACTCAGAAATCTGCGTTAAAACCAGCCCAGCTTAGCGTAAGACTCAGTAGCTCTAGAGATAATGTGAAGTTGAAGTAGATTCTGTAATTCTGGGTAATCAGGTGCTAATAGACCTGAAGGTAAGAAAGCCAGGTTTAATAGTCTTTATTTGGGGAAAGGCAGATGAGTCTGTGGCTTTTGGATTTACCACAAAGCTAGGTTTAAAGTTCAAAAAGAGGCTTCACCAGATAATTTAAACTCTTCATTTGCCCAGAATTTAGTTGTATTTTTTTCTTTCCTTTTTCCTCTTTTGTTTAAAGCAAGTGAATCATGTGCTGAGGCATTTTGATAAAAATTATATTCATGTACAGTTAATTTGATGGACATAATACACCAAACTAGTAGTTCTAATGGTAATTGCAATTAAGAATCAACTGGTAAGATTTAAAATAAACTAACAAAGGCCAGATCTCACCCAGGCTACTTATATTGGAATCTCAGGGGTTTGGATCAAAAATTTTCATGTGTATGTAAAGTACTCCAAGTGATTCTAATATATAGACATGATTGAGAACCTCTAATGTAAAGAAATAGGCAACTAGGAGTAAATTTTCTTTCTCCCTTTAGTAATCCAGTTACTGAAAGTCACTATTCCAGATGGTTAATCTTATCCACTGCATTAAAATTTTTTATTATTTTTGAATGTAATACAGTCACATTTTTGAAGAATTGTAATTTATAAAGGATACAAAGAAGGAAATACCCGCAATTTTAGAATAACCATTAGCATTTACCACTTAATTGCAAGTTATAAAAGGAATATATGCTGCTTATAAAATTTCAAAGTAAAAAGCCAAAATTCCATACCAGTCCCCGTGTTCCTTTCTCCTCAGAACAATAGAACTCTAAGGTCATTGTGCTCTCTGACATTTCACTTATGTTACATCTTCTCTAAAATTTAGCAACATTAAGCTGATAAGAGCTATAGGAAAGCTCTAAAGCAAGTGGGTTTGGAGGCCATAAGAGCAGAAGCCACTTGGCAGGGCCACTGACTGGTTAATAGGGACTGTCACATAACTCACAGGTGATGCTGTTTCTGTTCCCTCTGAAGTAAGGTGTGCAGGGCCGAGGTAAAAAGATGGAAAGCCTCTCATCTCCTCCAGCCTTGACAGTTTAGTCTCTTTAAAACTCCAAATAACTTGCTTTTCTCTAAATTCTTTTTATTTCAGGGACTTAATCTTTTTTCACTTCCTGTTTTGCAAAAGCCTCACTTATAGTTCCTTGTATGATTTTCTACTGCTGGAGAAACTATGAGAGAGGGCAGTTTTTACCAAGCAGGTTTGGGTGGGTAACTTTGTTTTAAATGTGTGGATTACCTGTATCACGTCTTGCATGCCCAGGGAAAACAATTATTTCCAGCACACCCTACGTTGAATTTTAGAGTGGAGGCAGTATTGTCACTGTTAGATACTGAAGAAAATTTCTTTATCATAAATTTTGCAACTTTTCAGAAAGCACACTCAGTAGCCTTACTGCACTGAGCTTTTTCTAGGAATGAAGCCCAGAGGGATGAAGGAAGTGGTCTCTACTCCATCACGAGTGACCAACAGGGATCAGGAATGGTATGATGCTGAAATTGCCAGAAAACTGCAAGAAGAAGAAATTTTGGTGAGCAAACTTTAATACAGAATTTTAGGTGAATTAGTGGGTTTTTTGTGAATTGAATCAATCTTGACATTATATAATAGGCATTATAGTCCTCTCTCTTGTCAAGAAACTGATACCTTTTTTATGAGTGGAAAAATCAAGACAATAGGAATAACGTGTCCAGTTGTACTCACTGAGTAAGCATTCGCAACAGAATTCCATATCCCTGTCTCTCCTTTATTGAGTTCTGATAATTCTCTAAGAATCCGCTGTAGAATTTGATAAAAATAGACCCTGCTCTGGCTAACAAAAGTATACCAACTGATTATCATCTTCAGGGGTGTTAATCACCACTAGTTTCAAATACCAATTTATTTTGATGTAAGATTTTTTTTTTTTTTAATGGACAACACAGATTCCAATTAAATTATACTTTTTTGTATTTTCGATACCGTAGGCTACCCAGGTGGACATGAGAGCAGCTCAGGTAGCTCAGGATGAGGTGAGTTCGTGTTAGTTAATTTGTTTAGGTGATATTCTTTGGAAATATCCCAGTTTTTATCCCAATTCATCCCAATTTCCTACCTGCAACTTTGCAATCAATGATATTGACTGGATTTTGTTTAGGAAATCGCTAGACTTCTAATGGCTGAAGAAAAGAAAGCTTACAAGAAAGCCAGGGAACGGGAGAAATCATCTTTGGACAAAAGAAAGCATGACCCCGAGTGGAAGGTAGGGTCTGTCTGTTTGTTTTTAATTAGAAATACAATTAGAACTGAAATGGGGAGTCCTCTTTTAGGGTAAGCTCACAAATATATTTAGGGTATACAAATTATCTGTATTGCATATGTGAATCTGACTTGTAAAAGTTGATTCACCATGAAAAATCATATTGAATTCTTCAAAGTAACTATGTAAAAAGTTACTGCTAAGGTCGGAAAACTCATTTCCTTCATTTTAAGACCAACTGAGATGCAGGTAGGTGCCTCTAGCCGTGAGCAATCTTAGTTTTACTATGCTTGCCTTACAGGAGAATGTAGTGTTTTCACTTGCTCTTAAATTTCCACAGTGCCCTTCTCTTCTCCTGTTTGTGTATACTGCCCTTCCTCCTTGATCATGTACAGGTGTCTCTGTTTCCTCTGACATCACTTGACCCATGGCAGACTGACAGCCATTCTTATCACCAGCAATCATTGCGTATGCAACCCTCTAGCATGAGCTTGAACTGTAAGCATCCCCTTGTTAATCAGAAATAGTAGACAAAATAGTCAGCGACTGCTGTTCATTCTCCTGTAATCTAATTGTTGTATACGGTGATTGCAAGTTTGGTTGAACAGATCTTACTCATTAGCTACTGTGTGCAAAGGACCACTCTGGACTTACAGGGAAAGACAGAGATAGATTTTCCCCAGAATAATGTGTAATGTAGAGAGGAAGACAAACTGTAGACAGCTAACAAATACAAGGTCAAGCTGGCTGAAAAATGCAAAATGGAAAAACAACAAAGGAGCGGGGGTGAGAGTTCACATAGTAAAGGCTTTTAGGGAGGGAGTTTGTACTATGCTGGAAGGATGGAGCCAGGGTGTGTGTCCATGATATGGTTGATGTTTAGCACTGTTGTTCCCCTCCCCACTTCCCTCCCTCTCTCAAACAAAATCCTCCCTTGGGTCTCTGATCCTGTCACAGTCTCAGCATGTTTTGAGGGAAACAAAGACAGAGGAAGCATGATAACAGTATCGCTCTACTATTGGCTGTTGCTCAGTTACCTAGTTGTGAGTCTGAAAGCAGATGAAAATATTATTTGCGTGTTAATTATTTAATTTATCTCCCTCCTGTACTCTCTTAGTAATGCATGATTTTTCCTGACACACATATTTCATTTTGGTAGAAGGGTTCCCAAATGCTTCTGTTACGTAAATTAAACCATAAGTAGTTGACCAGGAGTTACTCAGGTTCTTTGTTAACTGTGAGGGAGCAGGTATTTTTAAAGATTGCAAATCAGGAAAGGAAGAGGGGGTAGACCACATTTCTAGCAGTATCAGGACTTCTGTCATTTCTAGATTCTGTAACTGGTGCTGGAATTGTTTCTGTCCTGGAAAAGTTGGCATGAATATGCCTTAGTTTCTGAAAATTAGCATCCCTAGGTCAGGTGTTCAGAAATAAGCTTAAGAGCATGAAGCTAGATTCCACAGACTCTGGGAGTGCGCCAGTTCTGTTATTGAACCAAACTGGGGTCCACTTACCCATGTGCAGTAAAGCCACTCTACTGACATCGGGTTGTGGGGAAGGAAAGTGCAGCATTTACTGTAAGGCTCCATACTAGTAGTCTGGGACTGCTAGTACTCAAGAAGCCCGAACTCCCCGGTGGGTTTCAGGAAAGCATTTTTAGAAGGCCTGGGGGCTGTGTGCTCATGGTCATCAAGTAGTTAACATCTTCTATTTGGTGGGGGTTTTCACATCTGTAAAACCATTCAGGAAATGTGCACCAGATACTATTACCTAGGTACTTCAGAGAGGAGCTAAGGCAGAGAATATGGGGGAGGGCGTCTGTCCCTGGAAGGTGTGATAGGGTCCTGATCAATTATAGTTCTCGTCAGCTGCTCTGCAGCTGTTTTGTTAATAGTGGGTGGCCAAGCCCATCTCTATGGGGGATCGTGTTTGTGTGTGTTTAGCCCACTCATCTGGCTGTACTGAAAACCTGCAACACACTTTCATGATTATATATATTTTTTGTCTCTGAGTGGCAGTATTTAAAAATATTTGAAGTTGCTCAACTGGATGTAAGTAACCTGAAATTACTAAAGGAGAGTTTCACATCATTTAGATAATTAATAAATCTAATCTTTCTCTGTTTGTGTGCTGTTTTCTGTATGTGTGTGTGTTTTTCTTTTCTTTTTTTCCCCATAGCCCAAGACAGCTAAATCAGCACACTCAAAGTCAAAAGAGAGTGATGAACCTCACCATTCTAAGAATGACAGGCCAGCACGGTAAGATGACACCTGAAAAAGGGAGTGAGGAACTTGATCTTGGGGTAAGGAGATGTCGGCTGCCTGAAAAGAGTGTTTGTTCCTTGGAAAGGAGATCCAGAAATCTGCAGTTGTAAGGTGGTATCAAGCCTTGCAGGGTTATTTTCAAGCTTTGTTTTCAGCTTTAAATTGGGTTGAACAAGGCAAATCAGGAAGACGGAGGATTTTACAGAAGCTGGGGTATAGAAGGAAAGATGTACTTTTGGTTAGGACCAAGTTTGTCTCTGGAGTCACTGAACTGACTGCCCTCAGCTAGGAAGGGATGAGATTAACCATTTTCCTAAGTAAAATCTCAGGTTTTAAATTTTTTCTGAGTTTCATGGTCACATTAGTGTGTGCATGACATTTACATACACCTAAATTCATTTCTATGTGAGTCTCAATGTCCTAGGCAAATACTCATTTGAGTCATTGCAGATTGTTCTAAATCCCACTAGATCAAATAGCTGTGGCTATGCTATGTATACTTTCTGACTTCTCTCAAGCAGTCTTGGGTAATGGTTATGGAGCGTCTGCTGTTTTTCCACTGCAGATTCTCAACATTTAAGTCTCTGGGGAAGCAACCTTTATTTTTTCTTTATTTCTTTCTGTTGCTTTTCAAAGGGAAATTGATTGGAAGAGGAAGAGAGAACATTAAATAGAAAAAGACAAAAGTAACACTAAATCTAATATTTTGAAAACTCTAAATTATTGAAACTTTGTATTTTGGTCCTGATTATTAATAATATATTCATTATTATTATTTATTATTTTTTTTTGCGGTACGCGGGCCTCTCACTGTTGTGGCCTCTCCCGCTGCGGAGCACAGGCTCCGGACGCACAGGCCCAGCGGCCATCGCTCACGGGCCCAGCCGCTCTGCAGCATGTGGGATCCTCCCGGACCGGGGCACGAACCCGTGTCCTCTGCATCGGCAGGCGGACTCTCAACCACTGCGCCACCAGGGAAGCCCTTCATTAATTATTAAAACAAAAATTTTATCACACTGAAGCATATACACTGTTGTTGCCACTCATTGCTCACACTTAAACTACTAGACTTGTTTCCTTGAAGAGAATATAGTGTCCTTAAAATGCCATACTCTACTTTTAAATCCATGGGCTTTCAGGAGATAAATATGTTTCAGAAAATTATATCAGGTTGTAAAGCTTTTAGGGCAACAGTAGTGTAGTTTGTCTAATTGTATAAAATTGGTTCCTCTTCCAGCTTTTAGTTAGGCACATGCCAAATGCCTTTTAAAGCAAATTTTAGAACTACATACTTCAGCTTTATTTACATCCCTGCAACAGCCAAGTAAAATAAGAAGTAACTAAACTGTTCTCAGTAGGTAAATAGGTGTGGTATATTATGCTTTTTTTAATGAAGGGAATTAAAATCATCTTTAGAGTTAGTAATTTTGCAGTCTTTGAAGTCCTTGGGCTTTTTAGAACACCAATAACTTTGACAGCATATGATAGAACAGTCTGGAATGTCTATTTAAAGGATTTATTAAAGTTGAAAACAAGTTTCTGGAATGTAATAGGTACTCTTTAAAATATTTGATGTATTTGGTTATGAATAATCAAATGATCCTGTGTTAAAAATGGCTATTGTAAATGAGTGAGAAGTGGCCTATGACTAATAGAACTGAATTGAATTAAGAGGAATGTTTGTCTTTAAATAGCTTTTGCAGAAAGACTATATATATGGCAAAACAAAAATGAATAAGAATTTTATGAAACCTGTATTTTCATAGTTAAAACTTAAAGCCTATTATCTTATTATAGGTATCTTATACAATTAATATCAGAATGTATGCTTTCTGGTTAGAGTCTATGGTTTCCTCTTTCACATTTAATCATGGTGGAAGTTGAGTTACCCAGTTGTACAGAAAGAGATGGTTTCAAGGATTGAGAAACATGGAGCTTACTAGTTCAAGACGTTTACTTCAGTGTAACAGTCATGGCTAAAAGTCATTTTCATTGTCTATTATAAGATTTCTAGTCTAAAAAATAGAGAACCAGTTGGCAATCTGAGTTAATTCCAATTCTTTGTAATTGGAAAAAGTTTCAACCCAAGTTCCAAATTGTTTTAACTATAGGATTGTATATTAATAATACTACTTGGTATTTTAGTTTTGCATTTTTCCCTTAGAAAAACTTAAGGATTTTATAAATCTCATTTAGTTCCTACAGTATTCTTATGAATATGAAATATATTTGTCTCCCTTTACTCATTTATCAAGTATTTATTAAGCACCCTAATAAATTGTCCGGAGCTAAAGTAAGCAGCAGTCAAAAAAAAGTTGTTTCCTGCTCTTATGAAATTTATAACCTAAACAGATAATTATACAAATAACTATTATGGTTGTGTTAAATGTTAAGGGTGAAAAACACAGGTTGTTAGCAGAGCATAAGGAGACACTTAAACTAGTCTAGGTGTCTAGGCGGGCTTCTCGAAGAAATGAGTTTTGAGTGAATTCTGAAGCATATTTGGCTTTATCACTAGCTTAAAGATACAAATCATTTCATAAGAGCAGTTGGAAACAAGTAATCCTAATACATCAAAAACTGTAAAACAAACTATTAGTTAACAGAATTTTTCCAACTTTGGATATGAATACCCTTAACTGAAGTAACTGTCTCCAATGCAACAAATAATTTGGTAGGACCCCTGGAAGCAGTAAGCCAAGATTTGTTCTCCGTGTAATCAAATATTGAACAAAACAGCACACCAAGAGAACTGAGGGCATTCTAGATACATTTGTTTATCCTTGTCGGGGGGATCCTAGAGAATTCGTTGGTGTCCTGTACTTTGTTTCACTCTTTAGCATCCCTTTCCTTGATGATGAGTTGATGGTGAGGCAATAAACATAGAGTTTTTTTGTTTTTTGTTTTTTGTTTTTTTTTGCAGTACGCGGCCCTCTCACTGCTGTGGCCTCTCCCGTTGCGGAGCACAGGCTCCGGACGCGCAGGCTCAGCGGCCATGTCTCACGGGCCCAGCCGCTCTGCGGCATGTGGGATCCTCCCGGACCGGGGCACGAACCCGTGTCCCCTGCATCGGCAGGCGGACTCTCAACCACTGCGCCACCAGGGAAGCCCAACGTAGAGTTTTTTTGACAGTACCAGTTGGCTTGTGTTTCTCCAGTTTCCAGTCACCTAATGAGGGTATTAAAAAGAGTAAAAAATAGAGCCTGCCACCCTGATTACCAATCCTGTTTTCTTGAGCCTAAGTTACTTCTTTAGTTAACTTTCTTAATTCTGGAGTCAGGTTGCTTTGTCTCAACTGTTCCTGCCAAGTCTTATGTTACTTTTTAAAGGCGAATGTTATAAATATCCATGAATAATGAAAAGAAAACACTTATTTGATTTCTAATATTTGTAAACAAATGGTTCAGAAAGAAAAACAAGAAAAATGCCACGTTATTTGTTACGCTCATATGTATCATATGTGTATAAAAATGTATGAAAGTATGAAAACATATGCCACGTACCATTTGGAAGTATAAGGAGTATGTGTGCTTGTGTGTATGTGTGTGTGTGTTTGTATAATCTTGAATGCAGATAATGCTAATGATAAAAATACACACCTATGTAGCAGAGCATAGTATAGTAGTTAAGAGCACTGGTTTTGAAGTCCAGTTGAGTTTGAGCCCTGGCTCTACCACTAACCAACTGTGTGAACTTAGATCGCTTACCTGATCTAACCTAATCTAACTCTAAAATATGTGGATGATAGCTACCATGCAAACTCATCCTGAAAGTTGAGATTGTCTCTGTAGAGCCCATAGCATAGCCCTCAATATATACACAAATTTACATCCGATGCTGACCTCTTCCAGACACTGACTACCCAGGGAGATACCTACTGCTTGGGTCAGGGTGAGAAATTTGAACACTTGTCCTCGTTCTTATATGACAGAACTCATTATACCCAAACCGACCATAACTTTCCAAACTTCAAAATATGCTTTCCATATTGCATATATAATTACACGATGCATCCTACAATGTGGCTGTATATTTGGCAGGTCTTAACCTCATCTGGTTCCATGCTTTAATGCAAATGTTGAGCACACCTTTAGGAAACAGCAACCAAAAAAAGGGAGAGATTTTGTTCTATCTTTATCAGTGCCAGATGTCTTCAAAAATCTATGTTATATAAGTAAAATAATACAAAGTTTGGAGTATTAAAAATTTCCCAATTTTTTTTACAGTTTGTCTTGTTTTGACATGAAAAGTTGCACATGTATTGATATTACTGCCCTTTCCTTCTCTAAGTTCTACTCTGCCACCTAGTGGTATAAGGAACTTTCCTCTAAATTTTCTGTGTTGGCCAGCAGCCCCTCTCTGTCCTCCCTTCTTACCTGCCTCCCCTCTCCCTTAATTACTTTCTTCCCTTCTATCCTTTCCTTTCTTTCTCTTTTTCTTCGTAATACCTACCAGAACAAAGTATACTTCTCATTAATGGCAGTGATAACATTAATCTTTGTTTCTCTAACCCTTAGCACAATGCCTCACACATATTAGGTGTTCAGAAAATATTTGTTTTCATTGAATTATGTGCATCAGAACAAAGGAACGGTAAGATTAAATAATTTATCCAAGGTCACGTAACTGGCCAGGAACTAACATGAGGATTCTAAAATATTCTGACTTTGTATTTCTACTGAAAATGTCTTTGCCTAGTGATCCAGTGAGAGGTGGAATTGTTGTCATTACTCCTTAGAGTATCTCTTTAAATTCTAACTTTTTTTCAGGCCACTACCACCTACCATGACAGAGGCTGAGGATTTGGATTACCCTCATTTTACAAACCAGCATAATTCCACACGTCATTTCTCAAAGTCAGATTCTTCTCATAAAGGTAATAAAAATATATATGGTCAGGTTTCAGATCCGTTTTAATAATCCTCATGCTGTGGTGGAAAAGCCAGATGCTGTCTTATAGATCACTAGAGTGGAAAAATAAGTTATTCTTCCTCTTGGCAGATCATTCTGGTAGTCTTCATTTTTTGGAAAACAAACAAAAATGATTAAAAAACAGAAAGCAAACACCTTAAGCTGAATACAGGACTTTTCTATGTACAGTTAGTTGACCCTTGAGCAACACAGGTTTGAACAGCGCAGGGGTTCATTTATACATGGATTTTTTTCAATAATAAATATTACAGTACTACACCATCCATATTGGCTGAGTCTGCAGATGTGTATACAGGGGGCCAACTATAAATTATACATGGATTTTCAACTGTGCAGAGAATCAGCACCCCTAAACCCCACATTGTTCAAGGGTCCGGAGAGAGTTCGTTCATAGCTTTTATCAGATCCTTAAAGGGAGACTGTCCCCCACTTAGATCTACTGGGCTTTTCCTGTCTTGGCTCTTGTTTCTCGTCTGCCCATGATTCTCTTAATTAGATTAAAATGCACACATACATACACATGTCACACAAAACACATCACATGGAAGAAAAATGGGACAAAGAAAATGAGAAAAGAATATGAGATCTAAGTTGGACCAGATCTTTAAAATGAAAGGAATAATCAGGTCTAGTTCCTCTACTAACCATATGCGTTCCCTTAGATGTATTTTTATGACAGTCATAAAATGAGTGAGGAAAATGTAGTTTCTCATATTAATTTGCTCATCTAAAAATGGAGGTGATTTTAATGGTATCAGCATGGTCAGGATTATGAGTAAAATATATGAAAGCAGATTGCAACAGACTTTACAAAGATTAGTTCTTATCAATTGATGTTTGTTTTTTTTTTTTACGGTTTTTGAAGATTTATTAGGTGATGTTTTCATTATCCTTTCCCAAATCTAATGATTGCCTTCCCAAACTTACTTAAATTTTCTTTTCTGAGGTGATTACAAGATACCATTGTACAGGTGCCACTCTAGACTAATTAAATTAGAATTTCTGGGGGCAGGTTTTGCCAGGCATTTGTATTTTTTTGAAAGCTCTCCTTCTGCTTCCCTATCATTCTGTCATTCATCCAGTGTTAATATTAAGACAAAAAACATTATTTAAAAGATGAGATTAGTTGAATATTATCAAAACAACCCATACACTACAATTTTCATTAGTTGGTGGCCTTTTTACCATCCCTTGTTTAACTGGAGGAAGTTCATGAGGTTCTTTCTCAAATTATATACATGCATCACTTTTAGGAGGTGCCTTCCTGTCCTTGACATACATTTGACACATAATATTAAAATAACACATTGATTCTGAATGTAGATACAACATGGGTATCTGCAGGAGATTGGCTCCAGGACCCCCGAGGATCTCAGAATCCTCAGATACTCAAGACCCCTGTATAAAATGGCATAGCATTTGCCATGCGTCCTCCCCTAAACTGTAAATCATCTCTAGATTACTTACAATATGTAATACAGTGCAAATGCTCTGTAAATACTTGCAAACGTATGGCAAATTCAAGTTTTACTTTCTGGAAATTTTTTTTCTGAATATTTTCAGTCCATGGTGGATGGGGAACCTGCAGATATGGAGAGCCAATTGTATTCTTACAACCAAAAACAAACAAAATATGAACCACTTGAAATACATATAAATATAGGTAAATTATTTTACCTGAGCAGGGAGAAAAAATGTCTCAGAAATTTTTCCTTCATCGTTTTTCTTCTTTTTTCCTTCTCTCTCCAGGTTTCCATTATAAGCCGTAACAACCTAGGAACCTGCCTTGAAAACGGACTCACTGTAGCAAAATTACTGGATGATACAGAATGCATTCCATGCTTATTTTTTTCTCCTATATTTTGTATTCCTCAGATTTATCCTCAAGTGTTTTTTAGACCATAAATAATTTTCATTCATTTAAAATGTTTTGGTTATTCCTGATCACTTGGGCAGTACAAGAAAATCTAGCTTCTGAATATTGGCCACCTTTATGCTGCATATGCTTCCTGGGATATAGTATCTAAGAGCGCTATAAAATGCCATTTTCGTTAGGTATGGAGTATTGATATCTAGGGAATAGGCTTTATTTAGCAATTAGAATTTTGTGGAGATAATGATCAAAGTAACGCAATGTTTGGATGCAATGCAGAATAAAAGAATATAAGAAATAGCTTTTTTTTGGTTCATTAGTGTATTATATATTAAAAGACAGAGACATTTGCTTTTTACTATTGAAGGAAAGAAAAAAAAATCACAACCATAAGATATTTTTAAAAAAACAAAAAACCTGGAACAGTTGAAATATGTAACAGACTACCAGGACTGTAGAGGTTTTACGTATCCTTACACGCCCTCCTGGGAAGATTGGCCTAGATGTCGTTCACTAACACCGTCGCTGCCATTGCCTCCTCAATAGCAAGGCTTTCTGAAGCCTCTGGGCATTGGACCACTTATTAGTATTTACTAGCAAAAATTTAATTCTGTGAAGTTTTAACTAAAGTCTGTGCAAAATCAACTGAAAATCGAAAAGCTGAAAATGAAAAGTTTTGTATCCCTTCTCTTATTTTACATTTACTTATAAAGCCGAAGGGAATGGAATTGGAAAGATGTTTATATACATGGTGCTGCCATCATTTTCTCTAGCTGTAAGATTGATCATAGCAGCATATGTTGGCAACCTCTCAAAAATATTTTGTGTATCTGTCAATAAGTAGATTAACTGGGCACGAAGTTGATAAAGGGGTTCTTCATCCAACTATTTGGTTCTACACATTTGTTAATGACACATGGGCATTGGATTCCTTTTGTGCCAGACCTTTAAACCCCTCTTCAAGAAATATGGAATTTTTTTCCATCTTCTAACCTCATGGAAATGCCTCTTTTCCCATACTAGTTAGTTAACATAAATATCAGTCATGCTATATATATAAATAATATCCTTTCAGTCTGACTTCCTGTTATTTTTCGTTGTATGAATCTGACGTTTTTGGCATTTTAGTGTGATGTTTGTTTAGGAAAGAAATCCGTGGGTGACTTGAGAAAAACTGTTAATCCATTCTTTTCTGGCTTCTGTTTGCCTTATCTTTTGAGATAGTCTTTAAAGTTGGGCAATATTCAGGAAGCTTTTTAGACTAGTTTCTCAGAGCAGATTTGGGTTTTTCGTTTTGAGAAAGATCTTTAGTTTTTGGACTGTATGAACTTAAGTAAAAGATATCTAAGAATTAAGTTTTGGGAAAATGATAATCTAGAAAGAAAGAAAACCCTCGTAGTCATTTCAGAAAATTGGGGAAAGGAAGAATAACAGGACTTTGAATGTCCAGGATGAAATGAATGAGAAAAAGTCTTTATTCAAATAGGCAAGGGCAGACCAAATGGAGATCCTAGCCTTAAATCAAATTCCAGAGGGTGGTTTCAATATCCAAAGTTTAGGTATTGTTGATTTACAGTAATGCTATATTTTTCTTTGTCTGCCCTGTGATTTTGCTTCATGTTTTAAAAAGTTTTTTATGGTAGCTTTAAAGAAAAAAAAAAAACAGTATATTTTTACTTGAAAATCAGGCAAATGGGCAACATTTGCCATATTTTTATTTTATAAATGTTTATTTTTCTATCTCATACAACGATCAGTTCTTCTTTTCAAATTCTACATTTCTCTTGCCTCTCATGTATTACTTCATCCAGTCATATTTATTATTGTAAAATGCTAACTGGATATATTTTACTCAAAACAAATGTCAGGTGAGTTAACACGTGACCAGGATGTTAGTGTTTCAGCTGTCTTAGTGAGTGACCAAAGGTGGTATTTCCCTCGTGACACACAAATTCAGCATCTGTATTGAAAATTTGTTATTTTTTTTAAGGTTTTTAAAAGATTAGAATTTTAAAATATTTTAATTTAATATTTTTTTGTAAAGCACACACTTCCAGGCGTATCAGAATAATTCTTCCCCTGTGAGTAAGGAGACAGATCAAATTCAACCAGTCGAATTCTTCTTACTCTCATTCAAATAGTGTAATTGTTATCTTTGAGACTATAGAAGCAACTAACAATTGTATTTTAAGAAACTGCCAGACATTCTTCACTGTGTTCTCTGCTTTTCACTTTGTCATTTTTATATAAATATGGAAGCATTTATTTTGTTTCTGTTCCTCCTGCTGGAACACACTCAATTTAATTTTTAGGCCCACAGTGTACTATGCTTTAATGTTGTGATGTAAACTAATACTTCTGGTCTTGGAAAATCTGTTTCCATACCTCTGTTCTGTGGAGACCGGGCCTCATTAACATCAGTATCACTGAATGAGCACAGTGTGTTGTGGAGCCTTATCATAAGGCTACTGACATGCACACCCCATTTCCCCAACCTAACTTTTTGTAAGTCATCGCCTGGAAGCAAGGTTAGATAAGGGTAAGATTAAATGTTCTGAGTTGAAAATAATGTGACTCTACTGTCTAACCATTGTTAGACATAATTTTATTGGGAGACTGGACGGTTGCTACACATGCTTTAAAATAACACTGCAGTTTTTAGAAGGTGACTTTGCATACAGAGTCTTGGACTTCCTATTTCCCAAGTGACTTTACAACAACCAGCAACAGACTAATGAACTGCAGAAAAGACTATATGGTTTTTGATCATAGAGAAACATCTAAATTAGAAAAGATACGGATAGATGCTCCCAGGAGGAAAAGCTTTTTAGAATGGCAGTGGCCACTTGGATCTAGATCAACATATTCCATAATGTGTGAACTTGGGCCTTGTGTTCCACTGGACTCACGAGGAAATTAGGAACCAGACCTGTTTTCCCCTTTTCTTCTCTACTGTGGCCCGCAATGGGACTGGACCATGAATAAATCCGTTGCTGACATTGTCTGTACCTTTCGCACAATCTTGGGACTTTTCAGTATAAAACTAATTAACTTTCAACTGATTATTATTTTTCTTTACTACTGTCAAATGTTCTCTGAATTTTGTCTTGTGTCAAATTGCTCTTTGGAAACACCTGGTATAATATGGTGCATTTAGTGTACCACATAAGTGGTTAACACTCTAGGGCCTTGATTTTTAATGAGTGTTGTCTTTATATAAAAATCACGTTGGGGAGTACCAAGATTATTCATTTATTCAGTGATGATTTCCTTGAAAGATAACTGTGGTGATTGGCTGTAATATCCTCAGCCAAATAAAGACGTAAGACCCCTGTGTAAGCAGCTTTCTGAAGGACTGAGAACAAGATAGAACTGGCACTCAAAGGCTTTTTTCCCTTTTGGGAAAGCACTATTTGTGTTGGGGACGTTAATACAGAAAAGGGAATCCTTCAGGTAGATTTCACTGTTACATAGTGTGCCATATTCTGATAATACTGGCTTTTTAGAAACAAGCATACAGAAATCAAAACCTGCTCTTTGAGGAAAAAGGAAAAGAAAGACAAAAACAGATTTTTTGAGTACTTTGTCCATTGCTTACTGCTTGGAGTCAGAGAAAAGTTAGATAAAATGATCCCATTTTTCCTCCTATCTGGTGGTGCCTGTGAATCTTAAAGCCATAACTGCTTATCTTACTGGTGATAGGATCCTTTTTTCTCCCTAGTCCATAGTAGGTCATCTGGGCAGGGAGAAGCAAACTGGAGACTGGCCTGATAATGCTGCACGGGGCACAGTGTCACCCAGAGTTCTCAGGGAAGAGTCTCTTTTATCCCTGAGGATACATAAGACTGTTAAAGGGAAGAGTTGAGGCTGTTGTTACTCTTGCCATTTAACTCTCATTAGAAATGCTGAATTTATTTCTAGAGAAATCAAGAAGGAAAGGGTAAAGTAGGAAATTCTCACTTCTACAGAGTCACTTTTCTTTGGAGACCTGCACTGTATGCCAGCAACATCTGTGAGGAGCAGTATTGCCTTAAATTAGTTTGATTCTGACCAAGGTCAGTGTACTATATTTCCTATATGTGAACAACTGTCAACTCTCCATTGAGATATAAAATTCACAGGTGAGCCCCAGACATCCTCATCATCAGAAGCTTTGGACATCCTCACACCAAGCTGTGAGTGACGTCCACACTGATAGGTATGTCATTCCATTTCAAATCGCCTCTCGATCTATGAATGAGCAGTGGCATGACCAAGAAGGCTGGTAGTAGGCGAGAGAGAATTTCCTGACCAGATTCTTCAGGTGATCACTTCCTAAATAATTGAGAGTTGACTGTCCTCCTTTTCTATGGCTACCGTGTAGAAGATATTTCCAAAGGTTCTCTTATGCAGTGTGAAGTCATAATGTTTTGTAAGAATTTCACCAACACTCTTATGTATTAAAATGCATACATTAACAAAAAAAGAAAACCAAACAAAACAGAGACATTTACTCAAATGGGAGATTTGTTGATATGAAGTGTTTGTATTTTATTACTTTTAAGAGAAAATCAATCAGAGACTTTTGCTATGGTAGGGGAGACACCAGAGTGTGTTTTAGGGTTGTATTTGATGCTACAGACTAACACAATCATCTAAGTAATCATGTTGATTTGTGGAAATGTCTGGTCCTAAAAATCGTTCTCTTTGCCCTTAAATATGTGTGAACACTGCCTAGATATATGTTCCTAATAGACTTAAATGTTTTTGTGTATTCTCAGCAAACTAGAAAATGTTTCTCTCATCTTGAGTAACTTTTTCATAGCGTAAGGCATTTCAGATAAGAACAGAATTAATTGTGTAACTTAGTGCCCCATGATTCATTGCTGAGTTTCATATAGAAAGAATGGAAGAATTGAAAGACAGGGGTCAAGTGACATTTTCTTCACAAAAGAGCAGGGGTTAAGGACAGCAAAGAGAAGACAGTTGAGAGAATATACTATTACACATCATACATATACTTAGGATAAGTTTTTGTTGCACTGAGTTTCAGACCGTAATTGCTAAAAGAGTTCCTAAGTGTTAAATTTAGTGAGAGGGTTTTTGATATCAGAATTTCTAAAATTTCTTATTGAATTAGCCTCTGAAATCCCCATAGGCTATACCTTCAGCTTTGTCATAAACTGAAAGCCAAATGCCCTTTCTCGGATATAGCTATATTTTTCACCTGCATCTTAAAGGCAACCCAATATTTAGTTCAGGAAGTATTATGATAGCATATAAAAATGATGTTCCAAAATGAGAATTCTCTGTAATGCGGT